CCGCACGCCCCCGTGACTCAGCCCGCCCTGGCGGAGGCAGAGGTGGGGTAGCGATACCGGAGCTAAAAAAAACCCAGCCGAGCGCTGGGGAGAGGAAATTTCTCATTAGCCAGAAATGTGTGGCTGAACCTGTCTGACACCCGGGGGGCGGCCCCCGGCCCCTGGCGGTGATACTGTCCCCGGCTTCGAGTGAGATCAAAGCGGGAGCGGGGGCAATAAGGGGGCTCAGCAGCCGGTTGGGCTGCGGCCATGGAGGGAAGTGGGGTGGGGAGGGGAAGGAGTCTCCCCATTTCCCCAGAACGCTGCTTTGGGAGAAGCCAGATTTGGGTGGCGGGAGGGGCTGGGCGGGCAGCGGCTCGGGGCGCGGGCGATGCTGCTGTGCGGGGCGTGGGCAGCAATACCCGCTGCAGGGGTGGTCTGCACCGACCAGCCACCCAGGGATGGGCAGGGGTGACGGCCGGCAAAACCCAGGTGAGGCAACCTGGCAGGGACCAGGGCATCTTCACATGTTGCTCCCGGCCACGTAGCAGCCCCTTTGCTCCCCTCCTTTCCAAAGGAGCCAACGTTTCCAGCCGGGGTGGCCCGTGGGGGGAGCGATGCAGTCTCAGCACCAGCCCCAGCCCTACCAGCAAGGCCAGTACGGCTTTCCCTCTAAATTTCCCCCTCTGAACCCAGCCTTTCCCCAACACCAGACCACCACATTGGGTCGAGGCATTGCCCTGGTCTTGTTTAATAGCCCAAAGCTGCTTTTTGCTTCCTGGTCCAGTGTTGGGTCAGATTCTGCTCCTCAAACAAGGCAGGCAGGCGCAGGGTGATTAATGCGGGCGCGTTCGCTCACTGGCTGCGCGCTGCCAAAGACGATGTCAGCTCCCAGGCATCCAGGGGAGAGCCGCCTCCTGTTCCCCAAGGCAGCCCCCCAGCCCCTGGCCCTCGGATCCCCTTTTCGGGAGCATCCCGGGCTGGCTGGCAGCTCCTGGCGCAGGGATGCTGGGCACCGCTCGGGGGGGGTCTTGTACCCCATGGTCCCCCTGTGGGGACACTCAGCCCTGCTTGAGGGGGCAAGGACACAGCCCTGGCAGCAGTGGGCAGGGAGGATGGGCTGTGGCGGCAGTCGAGGACAGGCACCGCACCACGTGCAAGCCCCCCGCTAGCTACCAAAGGAGACTGGAAGGAAGGAGTGGGAAGAAATTGATTAAAACAGTTTCTTTTTTTTTTTTTTAATAAAAAAAAAAGCCCTGGGAAAAAGCCGCGTAGGGTCCTGGCACGTGAACAGAGTCTGTAAGTGGTCTTAAAAATTACCAATAAATAATCTTAACGGGAAACAGAAGGAGCAGAGCCGGGACGTTCGTGGGTGTCTCGCGGCTCCCTGCGAGCATGGGAAAACTTGCCGGGTCCTGTCCCTCACACCACGGGGACAGTCCCTTCCCGGGCTGTGGCGTGTCCCCGGCTCCAGCCACGAGGCAACGACCCGCCTGGCCGGTGTCCATCCCGCCCCTGGCTGAGCATGGGTGCAGGATGCAGCCCCCGGCATGACCACGCTGGCGATTCCCGTGGGCACAGGGTGGCAATAGGGACGAGGCACGGTGGGGGGTGTGGGGGGATGCCCATGCCCCCGTTGCCCCGTGCCCTGGGCTGGCCTGCTGGGTCGTGGCCGTGCTGTGCCGAGCCATGCTGAGCCATGCCGAGCTGTGATCCCTTCCAGCTGTGCCGGCCCCAGGCGGCTGACGGGGCTGCGGGATCCTCTCCCTGCCAAGTCGCTGAGATGTCAGCCAAGAGTTAGCAGGGAAAACGCCAAACAGCCAGCGAGCCGGCCAACCCATCATCCCCAGCCTTCCTCCTCCTCCTCTGCCGGGGAGAGCCTCCCACCCTCCTGCCGGAGCCCTGAGCCCCTGGCCCACCCCAGCGGGGTCCCCCCTTAGCACCCGGTGTGCCATCACCCCAGCCGTGCTTCCGGGACCCCCCACTGCCGCTCCCAGGGTGTCCCCCCCGTCCCGGCCCCTCCACCTGGGTCATGCGTCCCCCTCCTCTGGGCCTGTCTGGAAAGGGATGGTCCCCCTCCCCGAACTTTCCAGCTCTCTGCAGAGCGGGAACAATCGTAGCCTTTGTCTTCCCTTAATCTCCTGGTTAGGAATTAAAAGGGGGAAAAAAAACCCAGCAGCACAAAAGGCTCTTTTGCACTGGGCTGGGAGGGGGGAAGCACAGGGCACAGGCAGAGCGCAGGCAGGGTGCAGGCAGGGCTTGCCTTCCCCCCACCCCAGCCTGGCCACCACGCTCCCCAAGGGCCACCCCACACTGTCCCCATGCCCAGTGCCCCAGGATGTCCCCGCAGCAGCACCTGAGGGCTGGCGGCTCGGGGAGCATCACCTGCTTCCCCCTCCCCAACACCCAAAGGTCCTCGCCCACCGTCTGCCCTGGGAGGTGGTGGGGAGCATCTTTGGGGAGGCTTGGGCTGGGCTTGCACCCGCGTGGGGCCAAGTGCCTCCTGCTTGCTGCCATGGACCCACTTTTACACACACAAGTGCCCAAACACACCCGCGCCCAACCAGCGCAGGGCTCCCCACCACCCAGAGCCCCCCAAGAACCACGCAGGCACCGCAGACCTCCATAAAATTCCTTAAATAATTTAATTGAAAAAAAGTCTTTCCGTTAAAAAATATTTTTACAAACGCACGCTCGCATTAATTTCCCTTGCTGCTGTTTTTTGCCTTTGCATTTGCTTTTTCACCATCGAACACAGTTTTCCCCCTATACATATTCGTATAAAAAGGGAGGTGGCAGGTACAGCATGTGAAGAGCCGCTGGGTGCAGCCCTGGGTGCAAACCGGGCAGCATGGGGGGCCAAAGCTGGGGGGACACCCGGGGCTGGCTGCAGGGATGCTGTGTCCTGCCCCACAGGACAGGGAGCATGGAGAAGGCTGGGAGAAGGGGTTTGTTGCAGGTTTGCTGTTTAAAATGAGTAGAACCCCCCCAAAGCAAAGCCAGGCCAGAATGGAGGGTTGAGCTGGGGATGCCTGGGATGCACTGGGGCCGGTGGGACCCCAAACCTTGCAGCAGCAGGACCCTCGCAGCACCGAGGCTGGGGGAGGAAGAGGGGCAGGGGCAGCCCCTGAGCCCCACAGCGCTTCCAGCCAGGGGGGCTGAGAGGGTTTAGCAAGCCCAAAATGGTCTCTGACATCTATTTGGCCACCTGCTCTTAAAAGCCTCCCGATGCTGGGTTGCTTTGCCTGACTTGGGGGAGGGAGGAGGTCGGCCCAGCGCTGCCATTTGGGGTCCCACCATGGTGGGGGCCGGGGAGCAGCCAGGGTGGGGAGCAAGCCGGGGCGGGCAGGGCTGGGAAACCCCAGTGAAACGGGGCTGCGGTGTCCCCGGCAGCCAGCATCCCTGATACATCCCGTAGAGGAGGGACGGTGGGACGCGGGGAGGCCGTTCCCCGGCGCAGGACCTGCTGCCAGCTGCCCTCCCGGCCTTGTTTACTGTTCCCTGGGGAGCAGGACAGGGTTAATGAGAAACCCAAGGGCAGGCAAGTTTCAAGGAAAGGGGAAAAATAGCACCTGCTCGGCCAGCCCGGGGAGGAGGGGAGCGGGGCCGAGTGCAGGGGGAGCACGGGGGTGCACCCCCTAATTTCGGGGAGCACCCGCTTGCCCCTCTGCACTGCGCTTGCCCCTCTGTTCTGCCAGCAAAGCATCCCTGTAAGCGAGCCAGCGAGGTGTACTGCAGCCGAGGGGGCGTTAGGGCCTGAAAACCCCCAGCACGAGCAACCGGGGGTCCCACTCGGCTACTAGGGAGCAATCCCCCCTGGGCTGAGGGCATGGGGACCCCCTGGCCCCGCTCTCCCAGGGAGAGCAGCCCCCAGGGGGGTTACCTTGTTGCCTGCACTGGCATGCTCCCACCTGGCTCAGCAGCTGCCATTTTGCGGCGAGGAGGAGCGGGGCCGGTGATTCAGGGATGCCGGTGGCTGTTGCAACACTCCTGCCCGGGGCTGGACTCTGCCTGGGGAGAGCAGAGGAGGACCGGCGGTCTGTGGAGAAGCCCTGGGGCTGCAGGGACCTGCTGGTGGTGGGATGAGCAGTGAGCCCGGCTGCTCCCTGCTCGGTTTTCACACACTGGGTTTGGTTCCCACAGTTCCAGCTTGACTTGAGGGAGGGATGGGGGAAAATAAATGATGAGCATCTCTGAGTGCATTAGACGGAGTTTCACGGCTGGCTCTGCCCTAGGACTCGTAACCTCCACCCTACGCACCCCACAGGGGAGCACACCGGGTCCCCAGGCACTGCAGGGTGGGTACAGCATCACTGCCTGCCCCAACCCTGCGGCAGCACCGGTGCCGAGGGGGACCCTGCGGGACCATCCGAATACATGACAGCAAGACAAGGGGGGAGCAGAGAGGGGCACAGAGCAGCCTGGGGCTGGCTGGGAGGAGGAGGAGGAGGATCCTGGCAGGCAGCAAAGCTGCAGGCAGCCGGGCCCACTGCAGGGAGAGCGCGATCGAGCAAAGGAAACTCCAGTAAAATTCTTATTGCCTTTATTCTGCCCATTGCCTCACACAGTCCTGCCGGCCAGCACACACCCACGCACGCATGCACACACTCACGCACACTCAGGCACGCTGGGAGTCTCTCCCTCGGCTTGGAGGAACCGGGCTGCAGTGAATCCTCAGGGAAAGGTGAGTCTTTTGGCAGCAATCACAGCGTGTGTCAGGAGCGGGGCGGCCACACCGGCGGCACCCGCTCCTTCTGCATAAAAGAGGAGGCTGGGGGAGGCCGGGCCTCGGCCCCCGGTGCAGCCCCCGCCCCAGCCCTGCTCTCCGGCCCCTCGGGGGGGGAGCGTGGCTGCCGTCGGTCCGGGGGCGGAGGGTCCCTGTGCAAACGTGCTGACGGCCTCGCTCTGCAGTCCAGAGCCGGCCAGGAGAACCAAGAGGGTAAGGGATGCGGAGCCGGGCACCTGGTCTCCCTCCCTCCCCTTTCTGCTCCCTCTTATTTTTTTTAATATATCTCTTTTTTTTTTTCTTTTTTTTTTTTTTTTCCTAACTCCCTGCATAGTAAATCTCACGGGGTTTGGGTTCTGGCGTGCAAAGCCAAGAAAGGGAGCGAAGCCTTCCCTTCGGACACGTTCCAGTGCAGACCCTCAGGTGGAGGGGCCACCAGGGCTGGAGGAGAGGAGTGATTGTCTGGGGCTGATGGCCCCGGCCCTGTCACCGGTTCGGCCTCCCCCGGCTGCTTCCACGCGGGGACCAGAGTTAGGGAAGGCTTTGGACGTGTCTGACGGACTCAGCGGACGGGTCAACAGTCTGTGGCCTCGAGGAGGGATGGGAAGTGAGGACTTGGGGAGAAAACAGGGTGAAAAGAAATCCAAGAAGCAGAACAACTCTTCAAACCGATGAGCACCGAGACAGGGCGGGAAGTGGGATGTGCCATCTCTGTCCCATAATCCATCTTCAATATGAAGATGCGTTGCTGCCTCGCCGCTCCAGGACACGGGACGAAAAGCTGGGCTCCCTCTCGGCACGAGTGCCTCTGATCCAGGGAAGGGCGGCCCATCTCGTCCCGTCCCGTCCCGTCCCAGGCGACCGTCCGAGGCAGAGGAGCGCCGTGTGAAGGGGGAAACGGGAAGCCGGGCTGCACCACAAACTGAACCTGGTTGGCAGGTTCCCTCGGTCCGTTCCAATGCAGAGTCCACTGCGGTCAAACCTGCACCGGGAGCGTCTGGTTCATCTGCAGCCTCATGTCCTGAATGCTGCTCAGGATCTTCTTTTGGTGCCCTGCTAGCGTCACCCCTATCCTCAGCAGGTCTCTGCAAGGAGAAGATGAAGACTCGGTCCCCTGCCAGCAGCAATACCAGCACATGGCCCTGCCCCATCTAGCTGCTGCCAAGGGACCCATCCATCTTCATTATAGCCCTCTCCCAAGCTCCAGTGTCCTTCTACCACCACAGGGGACTGGATGCTGAATCCCAGACCTTAACTCACTTGGGAAAACCCCGTGCACAACTCAGCCCTCCACATGCTCAGGCGGGAGGAGCTGGCTGTCAGAGAGGCGAGGGACAAGGGACAATGTGCAGCAGCCCCAGTCCCAGCCTTCTCCCTCCTCCACAAGCAGGGACTTACTCCGCAGTCATCTGCGCCACCAGGTCGAAGGAGGCAAAGCCGGCATTGACAAAATTCTCCTTGTATCGTCCCATTTTGATGGCATCCAGCCAGTCTCCCACGGTGGTGAAGGTGGTATAATCCGGGACGGTGCGGTCCAGGAGCGGCTGGGAGATGCTAAAGGGCAAGAGAGCCACAGGTCACAGGGAGCAGGGGACAGAGAGGTGTAACTGGAAGTGGGGGAGATTTCTTATCCCTGCCCTCCCACATCTCTAGTCCCAACCACCCCAGTGTTCCCTGGGCCTGGGGAAAGTCCTGGCTGGAGGTGGGGATGCCACTGACCCAGACTGGACACTGGCGATGACTTTCAGGCTGGCAGCATTGCGGATGAGCTTGTCCAGCGTGTTGACGATCTGTGCAAACTTGGGCCGCAGGTTGCGGTCCCGCACCCAGCAGTCCAGCATCAGCTGGTGCAGTGCCGTGGGGCAATCCATGGGGGGTGGCAGGCGGTAATCCTGCTCCACTGCGTTGATCACCTGCGGAGAGACATGCAGAGGCAGGCTGTGAGCCACCTGGGCTCCCACGGGCAGCCCATAGCTCCCCACTCCCCAGGGAGCACTTACATCCTGGTTGGACATGTCCCAGTAGGGTCGCTCCCCGTAGGACATCACTTCCCACATGACGATGCCGTAGCTCCACACGTCGCTGGCTGAAGTGAATTTGCGGTAGGCAATAGCCTCAGGAGCCGTCCATCTGATCGGGATCTTGCCCCCCTGCACGGATACACAAGCTCCATTATTTAGCACATACCTGAGGTGTCTCCCCCCAACCCCAGATAGGTGGGTCCCCCACAAGTGTCCCATACCAGGGAGCTGGTGTAGGTGGGGTCGGCCGGGTCGTCCTCCAGAAAGCGAGAGAGCCCAAAGTCGGACACTTTGCAGACTAAGTTGCTGTTGACCAGAATGTTGCGGGCAGCCAGATCCCGGTGCACGTAGTTCATCTCCGAAAGGTACTTCATGCCGGCGGCGATGCCTCGCAGCATCCCTACCAGCTGGATGACCGTGAACTGCCCATCGTTCAGCTGCCAGAGGAGAGATCAGAGGCGTTTGCAACACCCCAAATGGATTGGGGAAGGATCCCAGTGTGCTACCACCACCTTCCTCCACCCTAGAGCCACCCCTCTTCCCCACCCCACGATGTCTATGCACAGCTTAGCCCTGGGGGTGCCAGCACGACAACACAGAGGGATGGAGAAGGAGGGCTCGGAGCTGCTGTCCCTCATGCGCTGCAGCCCCCAGCCCAGGGCAGGAGGGGATGGATGCTCACCCGGAGGAAGGAGTCGAGCGCGCAGTTCTCCATGAACTCCGTGATGATCATGACGGGGCGGCTCTTGGTCACCACACCCTCCAGGTGGATGATGTTGGGGTGGTCAAACTGGCCCATGATGCTGGCCTCGCTCAAGAAGTCCCGCCGCTGCCGCTCCGTGTAGCCTACCTTCAGTGTCTTGATGGCCACAAAGATCTCGCGGCGGCCGGGCAGCTTCAGGCGCCCACGGCACACCTCGCCGAACTCCCCTGTGGTGGGGAAGGGGAGAAGGGGGTGGCACGGTGAGCCACGTGGCTGGGTGAGAGGCGGTGGTCTCAGCAGCTGCTGTGCCCAGCCCCGGGACTTGCCTGCTCCAATGACCTCCTCGATTTTGACACAGGAGATGTCAATCTCTTTGGCGAATTCCCGAACAGCTTCATTGGGGTCCTCGTAGGTGAACGGGTCAATGTAGACCTTCATCCCAGGGGTGACTGCAAGGGCAGAGGAGTCATCACCAGGAGGGACGCAACACAGGTGACAGATGCCGAGCCAGCTTGGCCGGCTGTCAGCCCATCCCTCCTGGTCCCTGGCTAGTGAAGGCTGCCCCTTCACTTGCGCACGGGGCAGGAATTGGGAGAGGGCAGGCAGAGCCCATTTGCTGGGCTCTCACACTCACCGTATTGCTGCAGCTTCTCCGTGTACTCGGGGTCCGTGCTGTTGCGTTGCTTCCTGCCCAAAGGAGACGAGAGGAGGTGTTCAGTAACCATCCCTTTCCTGATGAGGCAAAGACATTCACTGCCAGCTTCCAAATCCCAGCACAGACAGCCTATGCCAGAGAGCTTCCCCTCCGGCAGCCTGCGAGCAGAGCCATCCCTCCGCCCGAGGTGCAATGGGAGAAGATGGCCTAGTTGTGCTGAGAGAGGATGGCAGGAGCCTGGGCAGAGCCCCAGCTGGTGCTGGGGAAGCAGAGATGCACGGTCCTCCCACAGGACCCGCGCTCTGGTACCCACGTGTGGCACGTCCAGTCTTTCGCTCTCAGACTGGAGCTACCAGAGCTCTACCCACAGGCAAGGGGGAAAGCTCTGGGGCAGACATGAGCAACCCCCAAACCCAGCTCTGAACCCCCCCTCCCTGTGAAGCCAGTACCTGAAGCAGACGATAGCGATGATCACCACAACGATGACGAATAGCAGCCCTGCAGTGGCCGAACCCACGATCAGAGGCAGCTCCTGGAAAGTCTTGCTCGTGGAGCCTGATGGAGGGAGAGGCAGGAATCAAAGTCAAGCTGGGGAAGGAGGATCACGCATAGGAGGGCTGGGGGACGGAGGCAGCCCAGTCTTGGTACCTACCATCCTCCGCAGTTGTCTGAAATTCTGTGGGGAGGCTGTAGCGGCCGTAGACAGCCACCGTGCGTGCCCGGACCTGCACCATGTACCGAGCATTGGCTTTCAGCCCGTCCAGCCGCACTGAGTTCTTCTGGCTGGTGACTGTGTTGGCGATGCCATCGCTCTGGCCTTGCTGTAGGGGAGACATGTGGGTGTCACCTCTGTGAAGCAATCCCCCCTTCGCTGGCTCCCACATCCCCCAGGCACTATCTCTGCAGGGACCCCCTTTGCCTTGGTGCTGATGGCCAGCCAGAAGGGCTGAAGGAGGGAAAAGGCTGGTCTGCCTCCTGCTTTACCTTCTCCGAGTACTTGATCTCATAGTCAAGAATGATGCCGTTGGGTCTCTCCGGGGGAGTCCACGACAGCGTCATGCTGTTCCCGGTGCTGCTGTGCAGGTGCATCGTAGGCACGGCAGATGGGGCTAGGAAAGAGGGCAGGGGAGGAATGAGCCATCTGTGCCAGGCTCCCCCCTCCACCATCCTGCATCGGCGTAGCGGACTCTCTGCCTGGGACCTGTTCGGATAACCTCGGTGGACAGGCATGGAAAAGCTTTGAGACTGGCCTCTCATAAGTCTCCATTGGAAGGTGTGATCTCAACATCTTGCAGCTAAGGTGATAAGGCACCAAGGGGAGCCTCGGAAATAGCACCGAGGTAACGCTTCACCCCATGCCTAGCTGCAAACTCATCTGGGGAAGGGCCCTGCCAGTCCAAACTGGGGCTCCTTCCCCTCCTCCACTTGCCAGGAGCTCTGCACTCCACCCCACTGACGAGACCCGTGAAATCAGATCAAAGTGTGGCGGCTGGAGATTACCAGCATGTTGGAGCCGGGCCAGAGCAGGAGGAAGGAGGGAACGGCAGAGCACTCGGCTGGCTGCAAAGGTTTGGGCTGGTGCTGAACCTTCCCAGGCCCACAGGGGAGAAATCTCATTTCCTTCCTCCTCCCGTCGCAGCAGGCACAACATCTCTGGGGTAGGTCTAGGAGATCCAGAGCTCTCCGGAGCATCTGCCAACCCTGCCCTTCTCCACTTGCACACGTTCTGATCTCATCTCCTCCAGTGACACGCGTTAAACGGAGAGGAGAATTTACCCAGGGGATTAGATGCAGGCGCGGAGAGCCAGTAACGTGGCAGCATACAGGACTGCAGCCTCCAAGGCTGTCAGCAAGAAATCCCCGCTCTGCTCTGCGGCGGAGAGCCAGCCCCTGCTCTCCGGCAGCTCCACTGACCTGCCTGGTTGGTGGTGATGTTGACAGAGGCGAAATGGGGAGGGTAAGGGCTCTTGTTGGAGACACCATTCACAGCCTGGATCTCGAAGGTGTACTGGGTGTGGGCCATCAGGTTGCTGATGTAGATGCGACGCTCCGTGAGGCCGAGCTGGCGTGGCACGAACTCCACATTGTCGTCGCAGCGGGTGCACAGGCGCCGCTCCACGCTGCACTTCTTGCAGATGACGTTGTAGAGCAGGTCGTCCCGCCCGCCTGTGTCCTGTGGCTCACTCCACTCCAGCACCAGCGATGTCTCGTTCACGTTGGAGATGACGCTGCGGGGGGCGGAGGGGACGCCTGCGGGGGGAATGCGGGAATCAGGGATGGTGTGCCCCCATGCCCGGCTCACCTCCGGCGTGGGCACAGCACGCTCGCCCCCACCCCGGGCGCGGACCCCTGCTGCCTCCACACCTCCCCTCGTCTCCCCTCCTGGCCCAGGGCAGGACTCACTGGTGCAGGCGCTGTCTGCGGGGTCCATGTCCGCCCGGAAAAAGCTGTTTCGACACGTGCAGACCGTTGCTGCTCCGGAGGTGGTCCGGCTGTTGGGAGGGCAGGGAGAGCAGGGACCTTCCCCCTGCTTAGATTTGAAGGTTCCCGGGCCACATGCTGGAGGAAGGGAAAACAGACCTGAGTTATAAAGTGCACCCGGAAAACATCCACTGTTCCCCCCAAGGCTGGGCAGACCCTTCCTTGCTCCCTGCCAAATCTCTGATCAGTGGCTTGAGGACCACAGGCCACCTACAAGCCTTCCCACCGCCATCAGTCATGTCAGGGACACAGTGTCCCTGGCCAGGCAGGGCAGGCAAGAGTGGGCTGCTGGCACAGGGCAGGGGCACCCGCCAGCACAGGCACAGCTCTGCCCAGGAGACGCTGTGCTCCGGCAGCAGACCCGGGGCAGCCGGAGATGGGACGAGCCGGTCACCAGCAGCTGTACGGGGATCAGGGCAGGCCCAGCGAGCAGAGCATGTCCCCAGTTTTGTTTCTTCACTGCACTTCCCAAGGGTTTTGCATGCATTGGCTCCCCCTTCCCCAGCTGGTTTCCATGCCCAGCACCCTCCATAGGGTGAGCGATCCATCCTCTGGGAAAATAAGGCTGGGAAGGAAAGGACCCCTCAGCCCTGCCTGCAGCAGCCCCCGCGAGAGGCCTCTGCAGCCCCAAACGTAGCCACTCAGACCCAAACCCTCTGCCTCGGGCTCTTCAGCCACTTCTCAGCCCCGGGGCGGTGGCACCTCCTGAGGCCGGCTCAAGTGGAGCGCTGAGTGAGATTAAAACATTCCTGCAGGTCCTTGGCTAAAGAGCTGCTTCGGCATCGCTGCCACCTCCTACCCCCGCTTCCGATCAGGGTCCTTCAAGGAGCCACAAGTCCTGGGATCCGGACCGGTTGGCACCGCGGGGCATTTAGTCGTAATGAGGGGCACGTGAAAGGATTAACGGCACTTGAGCCAAGGGGCAGAGTGGCCTCCGGAACCCGACCCACACCTCAAAATAGCCTGATTTATCACAGTGCTGCCCCAAGAAAGCGGGTCCCATGCTCTGCGTTCGCAGCTGGCCAAGGTGGCGAGAGATCCACCGGCACCGGCTCTGCTTTAGCATCACCCCGTTTGCCACAGCCGGGGCGGCATCAGCACTGACAGCCCCAGAGGAGGGCACATCCTCCTCGCTCCACTGGGGTTAGGGCAGCTGCCGAGGGCGCGTAACCCTCCCGGCAGCCCTGTCCCACCTCCCACGCCTGTCGCACATCACCCCGTAAACAGGAGAAGGCTTCCTGGTGCTTCACCAGGCTGCAGCAAGTGGAAGTTTCCTGCTATGAGGCATCTCCCGACACCCTCCGTGGAAGTTTTCTGGCTGGTTGCAGCCCCACGCGTTGGGCGTGGAGCGCTGCTGAGTCACACACTGCCAGGCCGGCCCCATGGGGACCCACATACAGCGCCGGGGTGCCGTCCTGGCCCCCCCACTTTGCCCAGGCACCGAGTGGCAGCAGCCCCAGGGGAGAAGCCCCGCTCCACCGCGGTGCTGCCGGGCAGTGGGACACGTGAGCAGCCCCATCACGGGGGGAGGCACCCCACTGCCGAGGAGGGGACCTGCGGACTACACGTTCTCCAGCCCCCGTGCCTGGATGGGTGGCAGGAGCTGCTTCCTGCTCCCAGGGCGCGAGCCTTCGGGCAAGGAGACTCCTCTTCAGTCAGAACAGGACTGACCACATGGCTCGACTTGCTCCAGCTCCTTGACCTGAGTTCATCCAGCCTCTGGGCCTTCCCTTTGGAAATGAAAGCTTAGCCCATCCCGACTGCGCAGGCTGGAGGGCAAAGGAGTGCACTGACCTGCTCCTCTGCGAGCGATGGAAGCCCCCGGCCAGCAGGTCCAGGGATCCCGTCCCCCCAGCCCGGGCCACTCTCACCACCACGAAATGCAAAGACGTGGACAGCAAATGCCCAGAGGTAGCGAAGCAGCCTCGGCACAGGCAGGCCCACCCCAGCCGGAGTCCCGGGCGGTTCAGACTGGGTGGATGCAGATTCACACATAAGGAACCAGATTGCTGAGGAATGAGAGATGACTGAAACCTCTTGGACAGCAACACTCTGGGCTCAGAAAGCTGCCAAACATGCTTCGGTTATGGACAGGAGCCCAGATCCATCAGGGACAAAACCCCCTGAAATAACAGGCTTGTTGCGGGGAGCGTGAAGCTGGAGCAACCAGAGCTCCTGTGAAGCTGACAGCCCAAGTGCGGCATGGCAGCCAGGGACAGCGAGGTGCTCTGCAAAGGATGCAGGAGGGATGATGGCGCTTGGCCTCCTGCACGCTCAGTGCCAGCTGGTGCCTGGTGGGTTATGAGCACGGAGGGGACAGTGACCTCCCGCGCTCCTGGACATGGGAGAAAGGGACAGGCAGAGCCGTCCTTGGGCAGCTGCCTGCCATCCCACAGGAGTGCCCAGCGCAGGCACAAGGGATGAAGGTCATTTCTTCGCACCCTCATGCCACCCCGGCAGGAGGGGGACGAGCCACGTCCCAGCCCTGTTAAGCAGGGGAAGAGCAGGAGAAGGACCGAGGTCCAGATGCACTCCAGCGTTTAAGTTTCCAGCTCCGCTTAATAAATCAGAGCATAAAGACCTTGGTGGCAGTGTGACAGCTCTCAGCCGCCACATTTGAAGGCTGTAACGGAGCTGAAAGCTGATCCCAGGTCCCTGGTGGATAAGCCGCTGTGTCATCTCTTCTCTGCAAGAAACTGCCTGTACAACAACCACTGTCTTGGCCAGCACGCCGGGGAACAAGCCCGGGAGCCCCGGAGTGGGAACGTGACTCCATCCAGCCGGAGCCGGGGAGCCGGGCTCCCCTCTCCCTACCGAGAGGTTTGCATAAGCACTTTTCCTGCTGAAGTGTCCTCAAATAAAATAACAACCCTGAACCCCTGCACACAGATCACATCCCCCGGTGCCAGGCTGCGGTGACCTCCGGGGAGAACATGACAATCACTGACAGCCACAGGATAACAGGTCAGGGAACCGAAGCGGAGCTCCCCAGCCTGAAGAGGAGCCGCTGGTTTGATGGGAGGGAGACGCAGCCTGGCCTGACAGCGGGGATCGGCTGCAGAGGGGATTTATGTGGGGTGTGGGAGGGAGGGGGGCAGTAACGCAGCCCTGGGACTGCTGCAAAACTGCCCCTGCACCCTCTACAGGGCATCACACACCCGGCACGGCATGGTACGGCACCCACCGCTGGCCATCCGGCTGCTCCTGGCAGCCCCTCCGGGATTTTCATCAGTTGCCCACCTCCAGGGCCTGATCCTGCCTTGCAGAACTGCAGCGCAGGGCTGGGGGAAGAGGAGGGCACTATTCCCAAATACAATCCCCACCCTGGTGAATAAAGTCCAAGGGAGGGAGCTGAAAAACACCAAAATAAAACCCTCCTGGCAGCAGCAGAGAGCAGTGACTCATCCCACAGGCAGCCTCCATTACTGCATGGGATGCGGGCAAGCAGCAACAAACCCCGCGTGCATCCCCAAAACTTCGGGGTCCCCTCCCTTGGAAAAGGGAGGGAGGGAGGGATAGCCCATGGCACATCGGGAAATACCAGCCCCAAACTACCCTGTTTCAGGTCTCGACTGCTTTCCCATCCACACGACGCTATTCCAGCCTGGGCAGCATCCTTCCAGCTATTTCTCTCCCTGGAGGACTGAAGCAGAACGCCTCGCTTGAGCCTAGATAAATTAAACCGATCACATCCCTTTGTCCAGCAACCCTGTAATTTCTTTAAAGGCAGCAATCGAGTTTGCCTGGGACGATCTGTGCTTTATGAACCTGCACGGCTCGCTCCCTTCCCGCTTTCGTAAGTGGCTGCAGATGGATTAGAGCCGTGGGAGCAACAGCCTAGCTACAGCCGAGGCGGTAACTCTCTTTTTAAGTCTCTCTTAAAAGGCACTTGATTTTTTTTTTTTAAAATCACCCTTTGGGTGGAAATATTTCACGCTAGCACTGTCCAAAAGTGAATGGAGAAAATTTGAAGGGGAGAGAAGGGAAAGAGCCCTCGGGGGTTTGAACAGTAGCATCCAAAGAACAGGCGGGAAACCAATTTTTTTTTTTTTTTTTTAAAAAGAAAAAAAAATTTTCAATAAGCAAAGCTGCTTCTCGAGCCACAGCGGGTCACAGGCAGGACAGCAGGGGCAGATTTCCTCGACCGTGTTACAAGTAACCCATTGTGGAGCTGCCTGGCTGTAAACCGGCAGCTCTCCCCTGCCTGCGCTGCTGAGCTGCCTTTGATCTGGAAGCCCGGGCAATTAATAGCAGGCAGTTTCACTTCCTGGGTTTCATGCAGCAAGCCCGTGTTGCAATGCAAAGCTGCAAACAGTTGGCAAGTGAAATGCTTGCTTGGCATTTTTTTTTTTTTTTAATTCGGGATGATGTTTCCATTAGTCACTGATTGCAAGGGAAATTTATTTTTGCAAAAATTCAGATTTTGGCCCCGGCCTGATCTGCTATCACCTACTGATTGTGCCCAAACATACAGCGCCTGGTGCCATCAGAAAAGGGACATCACAAAGGCTGAGAAATGGGTCCGAGGAGAGCGCGGCGTCACGCTGCACGCTGTCTCCCCAGATACTTTTATGGTTTGGGTGTCCATCGACCGCACCACACAGCCTCAGTCCCCCTCCCAAGTGGGGCGTAGGCTCTGGGGGCACTGTGGCCCCTCTCCAGGACCCCCCCATCGGCATCGAAGGCCATGCGAGGAAGGGGCTCACTGCTAGCCCTGGCACAGAGGCTAGCCAGACCCCAAACCTGTCCGTCTTTGGGTGAAGCCAGCAACACAAGGGGTGCAAACCCTGGCAAATTCGGCACGGAGAGCACATGCCCAGGAGCATTTTTGGGGAGGTGCCGCACAGTGAGCTGCTCTGCGCCGGGAGCCCTGCACTGCTCGAAGGAAACTCCCACTGCCTGCCTGTGCAACGCGGGGAGTGCCTTGACACCAAACCCCCTGAACGGTTTGGGTGCTTGCAAACCAAAAGGAGCAGGGACGGGCGCTGCAGGACTTGAGGTGCGAGGGAGTGAAGGCAGCATACCCCTCCCTGCGGAGGCACGTGGGAGCCTTCGTCCCCCTCCCCGGCCAGCCGCTCCTCTTCCTCCAGGGAGAGCTGCCTCTGCAGCTCTGCATGGCGGGGAGCGTGTGGGAAGCGGCACAACCCCCACAAGGGCCGTGTGCTAATTAAATAAAGATAATGAGGCTGAGAATGAGATGCCAAATCAATGCTGTGGCAACTAAGGACTAGAGCACCAGATACCAGTCTGGCGTATCGCATTACAAAGCATGCCAAGGAAACTGCCTTCAGCCGGCGGGATGAGCCCTCAGCTCCCGAGGGACCGGGATACAAGCTGCATTGTAACAGGTCTGAATGAGAGGTCTAATCCTGGCTCTGGATGGAGATAAAGAGGAGGAGGAGGAGATCTTCAAAGGCCACTGAAAGTCTGGGGAAAGGGGGAGATTTACAACAGGGCTTATCCCATCTAAGCAGTAACTGGGTATTGTTATTTATTAAAATGCCATCTGGCACTCCGGAGCGCTCCTTGCCTGTGCGGTGAAGCCTCAGCAGCTCCCCGGGGCGGGAGTGCCGAAACCCCAGCTCCGCAGGGCCACATCTGCACCTCTCCCCACGTCGTGGGGACAGAGAACCTTCTCAGCGGTGCCGGGCTGCCGAAACAGGGTAAGGGAACATCCAGCCGAGAGCAGAAAAGGGAGCTGCGGCTCCGGCTTCTCCCAGCCCTTCTTCAGCTGTTTCCACTTAAAACATACGATCATATGGCGGAAAATCTGATCCTACAAGCGCAGCGCAACTTTCCCAGAGAAACGTGAGGACACCGCCACTTCTGCCCAGCAAGAGGGCAGGCTGCCGGATGGAGACATGCCCGTGGCTCAGTGTGGCTTCCCCGTGCGCTGGGGAAGAAGCCGGCGCTTGCTGGGGGGAAATTAAAGGCGCTGGGAGAGCCGCCGCACGGGTGTCTGCCTGGCTGGGGGGATGCAGAGAGGGGACCTTGTCCCAGGCTGCAGCAATGCCCTGAGGAGCCCCTGGTTCTGCCTCAGGATGCCCCAGTTTGGCACAGCCCAGATGCTGCCTAGAAATGGGGTCACCTTGTGCCCAAACCCCGCTGGGAAAGAGCAAACACCCCATACAATCTAAGATCTCCCAGCCCAAGCGAGAAGGAAACCAGCTCCCCAGGAGCGTGGACCCCAGCGTGTATTTTTAAGCGTGGGCTCCTTGCCCAGTGATGGATGCCTGGTACCGGTGTCCGTCTGCCCCTGGAGGAGCCAGACTTGCTGCTCACAAGACTGACGCAGGGGGCCAGGGCCACAAGCAACCTGTCCCCAAAGTTGGGGCTGTGCTGGCACCAACGGTGCTGGAGGCTCCGGTCCCCCAGCAGAGCCGCAGCCCCATGGAAGCTGAGCTCTTCCCAACCAGCCGCAGCGGCACGGCCAACAGCTACACTGCTCCCAAAGCAAGCGGAGAGGCCGGCCTGGCCCGAGCCCCACGTCATGGGCCATCCCAAATCACATCGCCCCTGCCAAGACCAAAGGGCTGGCGCCAAGCGTCCCGTCATTGGCGAGTACGAGGCATGCAGCGCTGGGGGCCCAGCCGGCATCCCACTCCCTGTGCAACGCCTCCAGCCAAGGGGAGCGGCAACCCTTCTGCCCTAAACCCCAGCCACCCCAGGGAAGGGTCCTGAGTGCCAGAGACGGCTCCCAAGGACAAAATCACCCCAAGGGAGAACAATCCAGTCAGATTTTTCCGTATCAACATACCCAACCTGGAGTGAAACAGCAACACCAAAGCTGTTGTGGGAGAGCACGGCAACTGCAGGACCCGTGCAGGGCTAGCCTGCTGCCCAGTGTGGCTCTCCATCCCCAGTATCTCCGTGTGGAGGATGCTCTTCCCTCCCCTCCGAGCAAGGACAGGGAGCTTCGGCTCCCCTGCCTTCGTGCTGCTCCCCACCCTCCCCGCTGCAAGCCCTCGGCACTGGTAGGGGGAGCGTGCATCCACATGCATCTGCATGGCTTCTCCTGCAGCCAGCGCAGCGGCGCCCCGCTCATCACCGGGGTTTTTGAGTGCCTCCGCACAAGCAGCATGAAATCATGCTTGCCAGGAACAACCACTCACCCCAGCCACAAGCACCGCAGGAGGGAGAGAGGGGAGACGCTGGACACGGCAGCAGGGGCGAGAGGGAGGTTTTGGTAATGCTCAGGGGCTTAAACGTGCTGGATCCCTGCTGAGGACCATGCCTTGAGCCATGGCTCCTGGTGAGGAGATGCATCCCGCAGAGGATAGCACCAGCGGATGCTAACCAGCGTGTCACAGCAGGCACCGCGCCAGTCCGGACCACGAAGGCTTTAAGGCTTCCAGATGCTGAGTCAAACCAGTCCTCTGAGATACCACCCTGCTCCCTCCTCAGGGAGCCTTCCCAGCTCCCAAGCTTCCAAAAACAGACCGAGCCCAACGCAAAACCGCCTCCTCCGCACCAACGCGTCCGCGGGGACAAGAGCCATGGTCACTCCGCCATGCGCGTACCTTGGCACTGGGTATCCTTCATGGTCGGCTCATATCCGGCAGCACATGTACACGCTCCCACGGGTACCATCCACTCGCCGTCGCCATTGCAGTACAGCTTCAGGGGTACAGACACCTCCACTGCGTTGGGGATGCAGGTGCCTGGTGCGATGACCAGAGAGGTGGGCTCGGCCCCCGTCAAAGTCTCCGGGAAGATAGCAAAGCCAGCAATGGTGTTGGAGCATTTCTTGTAGAAAGCCCGGACGGAGATGAGGGACATGCAGGCTCCCAGGTCTTGGAAGGCCAGGTAAAAGCCATTCTTGGAGAGAGGGCCAAAGCTGCGCACCTTGGTGTTCACGCGGCCAGACTCCAGCTTGGAGAAGCTCTCATCCGGGGCAATTGTATCCACTTTGATATAGGGGTTCTCCATCCAGAAAGGGCTGTTTGCAGAGGCAGAATCCGTATCCGACTCGTAATAGAAGAGGTTGAAGGTCTCTTTGCAGGAGCCGGGGATGTTGGGGATGCTGTTGCAGTCCCGCACGGTAAACTTCAGCTCCACGTAGACGCGCTGGACGTCCTGGCGCTGGATGAACTTGGTGCGAAGCCAGTTGTTCTGGTTGGCCTCCCGCACGTTGCACACCTGGTACGTGCGGATGGGGTTCATGGCCTCGTCGTAACCACTGACTTCTTCCCACTGTGAGCAAGAGGGGAGCAGGTTAGACCCCCAGCTGGGGAGATCAGTGCCACGGACACATCACGAGCGGCACGGGCTAGGGGGGACCGGGCAACAGTCAACAGGGAAGAGAAGCAGCTTCACCTCCACGTGTCCCAACCCTCCTGGTCATCAAGGTGACTAAGAGCAACCTGGGCCAGGGACCACGGCGCTCCCGCTCCACCGGCATGGAGTCAGGAGGAGATGGTTTCATGAGGCGAGAAGATAAACATGGGAGGGAAAGGGGAAGATGCAGCCAGTTCCGTGAAGGCACTGGTGAGCAGCCCCGATTCCCGTGGGGCCGGGGCCAGCTGTGCCCTTTTGAGGTTGGGAACAGGGCTGGCTCCAGACTTACCCCCGTCTCCGGATGAGTTGTCCATGCCAACTCAGAGGTCACCCACTTCGTGTCCATCAGGGTCTCTGGAGGGAGAGGGAGGAGAGAAAGAAGTAATTGGAGACGAAGGCCAAGATTAGAGGGAAAAAAAAACCAGGAGGAGTGGGGGAGAGGAGAGCCGAGGCTGACATTTCTGCGGAAAACAGCAACTTGGGGGGTGAGACATGGTGGGAGGAGGGGGGAGCGGCGCAGACAGACTCCAGATTTCTCTTCTCCTGTCAGGAGAACAGGAAGAGCGAGGCATCCCCGGAGAGTTGCGCTGGAGCAGGGAAGCGGCAGGACAAGGAGCCGGCCAGGTGGCGAGGGGGGGACGGGGACGGGCTGCCACCCCCAGCCACCGGTGCGGCCAGCCGTGCCTCCCGGCCAGCGCGGGGGGGTGCCAGAGGAGGGAGACCGTGCGCCCCCATCCGCGCCCTCCCTCTCTGCTTTGGCAGGGCGCGTATTTATTGTGGCTGGGGTTGAAAGGGCCCGTTCCCATGACAGGGCGATGCGGGCCAGGCAGGTTTATCCAGAGGAGGAGGGACTGGCAGGCTGCTCTCCCAGAGACGCCCCACATCACTCATTTTACAAGAGGGGAGAAGAATTTGACCGTCTGGCCAACATTCCTGGAGCAGACTACAAGACAAACCACCCCGGCAGCATTCCCCAAACAGCCCCAGCCCCAGCCTTGGGGGAGCTAGACGCTTGTCTGGGAAGAGCTGCAATTGCAGGCAGCTGTCGCTAATCCCGGGCAGAGCCGTGCGGCTCCGCGCAAGCACCAGCGCAAAAACCGACAACATGCTCTGGGGCCAGTGCCAATGGTCCCTCTGTGGGCTGCTGGCTCTGTGACCCCCACTCTAGGGATGGCCCTGTAGGCTGTTTGGAGGGGAACAGGCATCCCTGGGGTCCTCCGGCCCCTCTCCTGCCACAGGGGCTTTTGGGGCAAGGGGGGTGCAAATGCCAGAGCTGGGCAACAGCCCCCTGCAGACCCTGGTGTGCTCAGAGGGGCTCCGGTGGCTGCCCCGGGCAGGGCCCACAATGAGCTCCAAAACGCCTCCCTGCTGAGGGCATCCCCCTCCCCAGCTGCAGGCATGGCCCCATCCCAGACCCCACACAGCTCCCCAAGGGCTGTCCATCAGTCTGTCCCTCAGCCGACCCAGCCCCGAGACGCAGGGCAGGGAGCCGTTGATCTCCAGCCCCCAGAGCTGGCAGCGGGCTGGGAGCCGCTTGCTCTCGACGGCTGGGGCACAGGACATGCTGGGACAGTTTGGCTATGCCAGGCACCACGGCTTAGCCCCAGAAGTGAGAGGCAAGTTTCAGCTTCTTTCCTTCCACGCCAGGAAAACCACAGGCTGACCCAGACAGGGAGGAAGCACGGAGGAGGAAGGAAATGTTCACGCATCGCAGGGTTTTGGATGAAGCCCCACTGGAGGTAAACACCTTCCTCCTATGTCCCACCCCGGGGAGACCCGCCAGCAGCTCCCGAGCCAGCACCCATGGACGGGCCAGGAGCACGGGCTGCAATTGCCACTGCAGCACAGATAAACAAACACATTTGGGGACACGTGGGCTCTCCGACTCGCCTCGCTGTTTGCCAGGATCCCAGCCCAGCCAGTGAGCCTGCCTCTTGCCCAGGCTGTATGCGTGGAGCAAACATAAATGCAGTCCCATCGCGGGCTGGTGGCACTGGCAGCAGACATGGCACTGGGGACAGAGTGAGGGAAACCCCTCATGGTGCCAGGTCCCCAGCCGGGAGAGGGTCAGGGGGGCAGCATCTACAACAGGAAGGACAAACTGACACTGGCTCTTGTTTGCAAACAGGAGTCCGGGCAGTGGTTATCTGCTGTTTCTCAAACCCACAAACTAGGGGCATCTGGCAAAAACAAAGGGAGAGACAGAGGGAGCCCTCTGCTAAGCGGGTAACGCAGGGGGACTTGTGATGAGGACACCAGAAGGGCCAGGGCACAGGATGCGCAGGACAGAGCTGGGCACCCATGGGGCACCCTCTGCCTGGTCCCAAGGCACTGCCTGCCCAGGGGATACAGCAAACCGCCATCCCTCTCCCCTCCCTTTCCCCACAGCACCAAGCTACTGACCGCTGGCAGGGGCCCGAGCGTGGCTCCACAGGGCCACGAGACCTCCCCGAGATGCTGCCACGCTCCCCAGACCCCTGCACCGGGGTTGCTCCCAGGAAAGGCAGCCAGTGCCGGACCATGGGGGAGCAGGTTGCAGAGTGGGGCCGCCCGCACCTCTCTGAGGGACGGGCCCTGCGCCGGCTGCCCTAATAAGGGCACAGCGGTGCCGTGCGAGGGCCCAGGCACACCACGCTGGTGGCGGAGCAGAGCCAAGCGCGTGCTCGGCGCTGACAGTGCGCCGGGCTGCCAAGTCCCGGTACAGAAACCCTATGTGGGTCTGGCCAGCGAAGGGCCCCATTCCTGGGGCAGGCAGCTGAGTGGGTGTTTCTGCAGGAGGGCTGGACCCGGCAGGAGGAGCAGGGAAGGGGTGCCCTGCATGCTCAGAGACGGGGCCGGTGTGGATGAGCGGCCACGGTGGTGAGTCAGGCTGGGGAGATGGGGATCTGGGTGGCAGGGTGTGCCTGCGAGTGGGGCGGCGCGAGGATCCCGTGGCCAGCCACGTCAGAGTCAGGCTGGACCTGACCCTGTGGGCATCCCAGCTCCTGGGGTGGGAGGGGAGCTTTGCTCTCCTAACCTGCCCAGGGTGTGCGGGAACTCCCCTGCACACCAGCAGCCCCCACGCAGGCAGCCCTTGCCATGCTGGCCCGGCCCCAGGACAGGGCACGTGGGCAGCCATCCCCTCCGGCAGTGCCCTTCCCCCTGAGTGCCGGCCTGGGGCAGAGACGCCGCTCGGACAGGAGGCTCACTGCCTGCATCCTAATTTGGCAGCATCTGCCATCTGACCGGCAGAGGAGGGGAAAAAACCTGACAGAGCCAAGGCAGCCGCTGGCGCAAGAGCCACGTAAACCTCACAGAGAGAGCAGGGAGGGGAAATAATAAAATCACTGAGCAACTTAGCTAAAGGAAACGGGGCGAGTGCGGAGGGCAGCAGGGGTTTCCTGCAGCTGCGGGAGCGAGCGGGGCCGCGTGGGATCAGGGGAGCTCCTCAGCCCCTCGCAGCCCACCACCCGTGAAGGTCACGGGCAGATGGCCCCGCAGGCTGCTGCGCTGCGTGGTCCCGGGACCAGCGACAGCATGCTGAGCCGAGCCGGCCACAGCCGAGCTGCAGAAACTAATCCTTGCCCTTAAAGCTGCCACAGAGATCTTGCGGCAGCCTGGCACCGAATCTGTGTCCCTTCTCCAGCAAACACCAGGGCACGCCAAGCACTGGCCCCCCATGAAAGGGACATGTGCAACCATCCAGGGCTGGGGAGATGGGCAAGCACTGGATTTCAGTGGTTCAGGAGTAGCCAGCTGCTCTCTCCGTTTGGCACGTGGTGCCAGAGGTGGGCTCAGAGGCAGCACTGGCAGTTTCCTGGCTCAGTTCAGGTTTGCAGGTGCTTCAGAGGGACATGAACAGCGTCAGGGCTGGCCGAGCAGTGAGTCAAAGCCACCTCAATCCCGCACACCACAGTGAGAGCCTGGTCCCATTAGTCAATGGGAAATTGACTCCCAATTTCGCCAGCTTGGGGAAGTCACCCTAAGGCTTACTTTATCACTGTCTGCAGCGCTGGGGAGTAGTCCTCTCCTTACCTTCAGCCAGGCAAAGGCAAGGGATGCTGCAGGAGCCTCACTACGCTCCAGCAAGTGCAGCAGGCCATGGTCAACCCCACATAAAAGCAGGATTTCCACTGCAGAGTGGGATCCCAGGGCAGGGAAAGAGCCTCACTCCTCGGATAGGGCTGTGAGCATCGCTCCGGCTGCCTCCTCCCTGCCCTGCAAAAATCTCCTCCCAGGTGCACCCCAAGCTGCAAAGACCAGGGGTCTCCTGCCAGCAGCCCTCCCATCACCTTTGCAGAGTTTCCAGCGGTTCGCTGGGTATTTGAAGCCCTGGCGAGAACCCATCTGGAGCTGGGGACCTCTTCCTCCCAGCGCAGGGGCTCAGGAATGCGGTGTGCACGGTCTGAGGCCAGTGAAAACGTTTGAACTCCCCCCCTTAAGAGGCCCAGAGAGCCCGTCTCGCGCTGCTGAGCGGCAGACGCGCGCGGCAGCGACGGCTGAGCCAGAAGGGGGGGGGGGATCAAAATTCTTTCAAGATGAAGCTGCTGGGGAAGACTCAATCGTCTCCACCAACCGGCTCCAATTTGAAAGCTCTCGCCTTTGAACATGGAGACTGCCGGCTTTTATCAGGATGCGCTGGCAAGGTAGGACGCCAGCTCCTTGCCCCAACGAGGAGAATGCAACTCGCGCAAGCCCAGAGCACCCTGAAAGAAAGCAAGGGAGGAAAGTTAGTAAAGACGCCCACACAGCCTCGCCGCAAACAGAGGAACCTGTTCTGCAACGTGCCCATGCTTTCTGGGAGCTATGCACACCATGGCACCATGTCTGCAGGAGCTCAGCCGGGCTCCTGTAGGCAGCATTGATGGCTGGGCCATTTGCCCCAGGACATGGCTTGGCTTCCACCGTGGTGGCTGCTCACAGTGGTGCCGGATGCCTCTCCCCCTTGCTGCCGTGCTGTGCTCCTCTGGAAGGAAAGGCAGCTTGTTTAGGGATGCACTTTCAGTCTCGGTGACTGCCTGCTAGTCAAAAAGCCACCAAAAGGGGCATCTCCCCGCAGATTTTTAATTTCCTCCTCAGTTTTGGAGATAATTATGGCAGGAGTGAGCGGCCTTGCACACTCCCCATTCAAGCACCTATCGGTACAATTAATCCCGTCACCGTTCTGAGCAGTGGCACAAAGGGCCTTTGGTGTAAGGTCCTTTATCTGGGAACAAAGAGCTGCCTGTGGGAGAGAACCTGAGGTTGCACTTTTCCCGCTGATGAGCGTTTCGCGTACACAAAAGCCGAGCCACACAGAGCGCCCTGCGTGCACGTCAGGTCTGTGAGACCCCGCGACACGTTGTCCCGGAGCGTGTCGCCCACCTGGAT